CACCACCACCCATGCTTTTTGAGGGTCGCCAGCTGCACGTGCTGCTCCTCATTCTCCATCAAGAAAAACCTCAAAGGCCTGTGAGGCTGTTCTTTATACAGTAGCTACAGTATCTATTTTTATAGACCAATCCTATTAACGCATAAAACTTTTATGTTTTTTGGCGCGTTTTTTTAATTCTGCTTTTTTTGTGCTTAGTGGAAAGACATTTTTGTTAATCTCATGCACCATTTCAGTGACTTTTTCTGTTTTGTAATGGTACAAAATTGATCACGATGCTCATGAAACCAGAGGACAGAGACGCGTGCCTCAGACTGTCATCTCTTAAAAAACAAAAATACAGGTCTTACATCTCTATGTGCCCAGTGGACTGAATAAAGAGTGACCGTAAGCTGCGTAAGCTTGCAGCAATGTGGAAGACACTGAAAAATCGGAAAAACTGAGGGGGACGTCGCTGCGTTTTATTTGTTGTTTAAAGTCAGACTTTGAACACGGATGTCTTGAAGACAGGAATATGCAAGCAGGTGAAATGACCCTTTTTCTTTTTTCCAAGAAACATATATGACTGTTAACAATCTTCCCTGTCGGCAGTATTCTTTAAAAACAAGCAAACAAACAAAAAAAGCTTTATAATATACGGCGTGACAGTGAAAATACCATATGCTCAGACGGAAGCAATACATCACAGTGTTGATCATCTTTTTTCTACTGTACGCCCACATTAATGATCAGAATGGCCAAGGACATTTGATGCTGTTGCAGCGACAGAACTGTACACTGTGATACCAGTGAGGCAGCTCAGCAGCGGAGATCAGCGTCCTCCGCTCTCCAGGACCAACTGAAGCTTTTTAATCGTTGAGGCCTCTTGTTGTGTGTGTGTGTGTGTGTGTGTGTGTGTGTGTGTGTGTGTGTGTGTGTGTGTGTGTGTGTGTGTGTGTGTGTGTTGTGCATTCAGACCAAAATGAAATAACATTTGATTGAGTGTGTGCACAGTCTGGCATGTGAATATTGTTATATATATATTTGTGTTTTGTCCCTCTTTCCTGCTGCAGAACAAAGTTCGACTTGTATTAAGAAAGAAAAGTATGTGAGAAAATATATATCTGTTTATCTTTTTTTTTCTCTTTTTCTTTTCCACCACCACAACTTGCAATTCCTGAAGAAGAGCAGCTCGTGTTTGTGCTTTCCAAGATATCACAATGTGCCTGAATCTTCCTTAAAAAGCTTTTCTGGCTTATTATATTTAATAGCTTCGTTTTAATCACCATAATTATCTCTGCTTTTTCTTTTGTTTTTCTATGAATTTTTGTTATGGGCTTTCTTACAGATGTCTGTTACACCTAAGGCCAAATCTCCTGAGTTTCTTACAGGCGACCTTTTCTACATCCATCTCCTTTAGGCTGCAGCGCCTCTTTATTTCCACTTCCATATGACCAGGAATGTCAGTTCATGAGCATGATGACCACAATGCACTGTGTTTTTACAGTAGGACGGATGAAATACTTTCCACGCACAGGTGGAGCGATCGCAGAGCTGTCTATGCACTTTGTCCTCTGTTATGACGGAGGGTAGAATAGCCATATTAAGGTCAGAGGTAATTCTCAGTGATCCCCCCCCCTCCCCCCAAAAAGCCCTCCTCCCTGTCTTCACACACCAGCGACAACCTGTAACTATGTTTGGCTTTATAGAGAAAATATGCCTGGCTTGTTTCACATGCCCATAAAAAGAATAATGGAACCTGGAGCTTGCACTGCCAGGCATGATTAAGGACCTGATAGCGTTGAATTTGTTCTTTCCCGTTTAATTGAAAAATATCTTTCCCCATAACGGACCACATGGTGGTTTTTGTGAAGGCATTTGATGTATTCATGTTGTTTCTTACCCTTAAAATCTGTGCGTGCTGTTTAGTGTGTGTGTGTGAGATGATTATTGAGTGATGAGTCTTAGAAAATCCTTTGTAAAAGGGCTTTGTTGCACCGACCCTCTGAACTGAAGCTTGCCTTAATTTTGGCTGTTTGTAAAACCCTGTTTAGATCAGACCATTCCAAATTAACCTCATGCATGTGAAAATATGTTTATGACCTCATCGCGCTTTCAACTGGAATTATTAGTTTTCATTTCTGATAGTGGATCCATGTTCATAATAAAAATGCATTTGTTACTATATAGGTATACAAAAAAAAGGAGCTATGGAAGTACAGCGTGAGTGTGTCTGTGTGTGAGAGAGAACAATTCCTACATATTAATGATGTTGTAATTGTATTATTTTAAGTCTAAAAGTATAAATATTGTACATAATATTAATTTCTATAATCCTGTACATGTAATGCAACCACCTTTCTTTTAGAAGGGAGAATAAACGTGTGGTACGTTTGTAAATAATGTTTGCACTTGTTGCCTTTTGCTGTACGTCGAGGCTCACCCCAGCGCTTAAGTACATTGTTGATATGTAACAAACGGATGGGATCCATTCCTGCCTGCATATCCTTGTACATTTTTTTGTTTGTTTTTTTTGGTCCGTAATTACATTGTCTCCATTTTATTTTGCATTTGTACAGATGTTAAAGTATCACTGCAGTTACATTACGGTATGAAAATAAAGCACTTGTTCTGTAACATTCATTCGCGCGACATGATGTCATTGTTTCTGAAACCCAGGAAAGTAATATTTCAATCAAAGGATCAACAGCATTTGCTGATGCTTGTCCTTGAAAAATGACTGCTCATTAAATAGTAAGATGCTTTAAAGGTTTAGAATGCTCATTAATTATTGAACTGTCTAGACAGCTTGATAGATGCCCGATGAAATAACATGGCAGTTAACTTCAGTACACAAACATCTTTGTTGAATCCTGTCAAAATGCCAAATCACTGCCGATGCAGAGAGACAATTAAATCTTAGCCACAACAATGAAACAAATAAGCAATAAAAATAAACATTGTTGTGTAAGAAATTCATTTCCGGCTGCTACTGTGGACACATGCGGAGGGACCTCTTTAAGTAATGAAGAGGACTTTTTCAGGACCTTACTTCGGATGATCAAGAGCTCCAGTGATTTCATTTTCAAAGTGCATTTAATGACTGACAGCAGTTTGGGGAGGCAATGATCTATGCCAGTTAGCAGCCAAGCAGAGACTTGTCTTTGGAGTATCATGACCCCTGGTGTACAACTTGTTCACTTTCCCAAACAATACTTTCACATTGAGCAATGTTTTCAAATCCCACCTCAATTGGTTCACTTCTCAGTTTAGTTTCAGACCCACGGGGTTTTGCTCGCTCATTTCTTCTACTGAAGTTATATTTCTTTTCCATAGTTTCATTTTAGTTTTCAGGGACTGGAAGCTATCCCAGTGACCAGTCACACCTTGGACAAGTTTCCACTCTATCGCAGGGTCATCACGCAGAGTTGAGAGAGTTGAATCCAGGTCCTTCTTCCTGTGAGGTGACAGTACAAACCACTGTTCCACAAACAGCAACACTAACCAGATCTGACTCCACTTCCTCTCCAAGATAAAGTGTGCACCACCATCATTTTTGGCTTTTCCCCGTCTCTCATGTACTGGGAAGTAGACCACAATATAACACAATGATAAAAACACTTAATGGCCTCAAGCAAAAGGTTGTAAGTAAGACAATGTGATGTTTTAAAAAGAAGAAACATCTTTATTTCAAGTAATTTCAACACTTAAGGCTTTACAGTCCCTTCTGACTGTGACAGACATTCAAACACAAAACACAAACTTTAAAAAGAATTGGATATATTGAAGAAAAGGGTTCTTTAATACAAATCAAACTTGTGTTAGAAAAAAATAATTCCACCTTTAGTGACTGAAAACAAAGCATGCATTCATAACTGGTAGCAGTTGGACCAGAAACACCTCCAAGCTTTATTCAATCACTTTGCATATAATAACCTTTTATCTTAGTGTAAGTGCCACAGGAAGGTACAAAGAACTGCTTAGAACCTTTTGCTTCAATACATGAAATCATTTAAAACTTGTATGAAAAGTTTTAAAAGTTCTTTTAAAAGTTTAAAAGAAATCTTGATATGAGTGAAATGTGTTTTGGCTGCATTGAATTTTGTCTCCGAAGCGTGCACTGATTTCACACAACATTCATTAACTCATACTGACCCGAGAAAAAACAAACATGAACCCCTAAAATTTAAGATGTTAACCTGATTTATCAGTTTTACCATTTCTGTTTGCAACAATCCAGATATCGCATCCAAGCTAAGAGTGTGCATCAGAGAGCACACGCTTAGAAGAAATGTATCCTCTGGTTTTTAAAAAGTTCTGCAAAAAATGTTGAAAACAAAAACTTGATTTAAGTTAGCTGTGACAATCAGTCTTAAATCAACGCTCTGTGCTCGATGTGCTCTCTAAAGTGAAGGTGCTTGAACAGTTGCACTTCTCCACCCGTGCTTTTCATTTCCAGCCCTGAGTTGACAAGAATCTGTCAATCATGTCAAAGGACCTCTGCGGTTGGTCGTAAGGCAGAATGTGTCCTCCTCCTCGTATGATGACCTGCATGAAGAGACCGACAGCGGATAACGGTAAACCTCAATAACGCCGAGAGATTTAAGATCATGCATTTGGCCTTTTATTTCACAATCCGCTCACCTGATAAAACTCTCCAACTTGCCGAACATAACCCGCCACCTCCGTGTCAGTGGGCTGAACCTTCCAGTGGAAGCGAGGGGCTTTTTTGTACTCGGCAGCCCCGGTCCAGTTCACAGTGGGCAGGAACCTCTCAGTCAGTGGAGCAGCCACAATCACATCTAGCTGACCACTATACATCAAGACCTGGATAAATACATTCAACTTGTATCAGTTAACTGACTCCATAGATTCACACACACACAGCAACTGTTGTTTTTGATATCAGACTGAATCCTCGTCACCCGGAGACGTGCTCTGCTCTTCTTCAGAAACAACCTCTCAGCGGCTCTTTCCTGGAAGTGTTGCATTCCTCCACCTTTCTCTTTAAAATACCCCAGAGTTTTCACTTCTCTTTTCTCTCCCCCTCCCTTTCACTGCGCTTTGAATCTTCATCAAGCTTTCCTGACTCAGTTCTGGAGACTGCGAGTCATCTCGTCATCCAGTATTGTGCTCCATCGACGGTCACGCCTAGTGTCATCTGTAGAAGTCATCCCCCTAAGCACTTTTTGCACTCACGCAGCGCTGACACCTCTGTGCTTCACACCAACCAGGGGATGAACAAATTTATCTTGATCTCATTGACCAAAGAATGCGCTTCCAGTTTTTATCAGGCTTCTTTTTGTGCTCCTACAGTCTTCTGTAAGGTTTTCCTTTTGGACCCCATCCATAGAAGATGATGTAACGAAGTTCAACAGTGTCTGAGTTGGGCTTTTTTTTTTTTAAGATTTGTTTCCTGTTAAGACTTGAGAACGATGCCCAGTTCACTTGTCAATAAATAAATAAATAAATAAAGTGATAAAAGTAAAACATTTGTCTCACACTCTAAATATAAAACATCATGAGCAAAATCCTGATTTTTTTCTCCCCCTTCACATTTTCCCCTTGTGCGTTTTAGATTTAATAAAAATAAAAAAAAAATGGATGACCCTGCAGTTTTTACCCTGTAGTTGTCCATCAGCACCCCCAGCCATGGTTTGATGGTCTTCATGACATCCTGCAAGAGGTGCTTCTCCACCTCAGAGCCATCGTGGAACGTCAGGTTGCCCACGTGGATGGCACGTCGCACTTCAGGCAGGGTCACAAACTGGGAGAAGTAGTCCTGATCCTCAGGCTCCTGAGGAACACAAAGGAAATTTGTGAGTTCTTTAAGCTGTTAAAAAGCAACAGTTTACAAAAAAGAACTTCAAGGAACTCCGAGTACCTGACATATCAAGTAGTTGAAGTAGTTGGTACAACCTGTTGCATTTTGGAAGAAGGAGGGATAAGGATCTACATCGCCATTCAGCAAACGATCAAAGACCTGAAGTCAGACGATTGAAATTGAAATGAAAAAGGCATCCATGACAGGTGTGCCTTCAACAATTAGAAAATACTGCAAATGTAGATGACAAACAACATCAACTCATTACCTCAAAAGCCTCCACCCACTTCTCCTGCTGGATGAGCTTAACTCCAAGGTCTGTCTGCTGGTCGACGTATTGCTTTTGGAGTTCATCTATCATTCCCGTTTGGTACAGGAACTCACCGTAGCCACCCAGCATCTGATGTGGAAGAACAGTAAACTGTCACTATACTGTCACCTTTCTGCATCAGCATATAGGAGCAGACGGCATCAAACATGAGCGAAGTGGAGGACGAACGTACAGTGTGGACAATGAAAGCAAAAGACACAGCAGCCTGTGTTTCAATGAAGACACACATTTAGACCATATGAGGGGAAAAAATGTGTAAGTCAATGAGTCTTGTTCATGAAACAGATGCTTTAATGCTTTATTAAACTCTTTCTAAGCCAACTCTAGACTTTATCCAAGAGATTTTCCTGCCGGTTACGTAGGGATATGGCAGTTTAGGTCACACATAAGTCCAAGCCTTTAGAAAACTCTTTTTGTTCTGCCACACCTCGCTCACCGCAGCAGTACCAAACCTTCTCTACCATCGTCACGATCAGGTCTTCTAAAGAGTTTGCTTTTCTGTTGGCCGTTTTCCGACTACACCGTGAGTTGCGATGGCATTGTGCAACTACAAAATTGCAACACAGCTGCTTAAGTTCTAAATGTCATTCCTGCCTGAGCAAGTTTTATGATTAAGCATGTCTTATGAATCAAACATTAGCACTTTCAGGAACAATCTTAGGACAGAGTTTACGTCTAAATAATAAAATTCTTCTACATACGCACCAGCTCTGGATCACAGAGTCCATCGCCAATAGCCATCCCCTTGAAGTTGATTTTCACCTTGGCAGTAGGGTTGTTTTTATGAATGTAGTAAGAAACGGCAGGAACATACTTCCCTGCATATGACTGCAAAGAGAATGTATTGCATGGTGAGGAGGCCATCTTAACAAAATAAGACGTTAAAATTTTATTATATTTTGCAAAAAGTATTAATTGGTTAGCATGGTAAGCATATATCTGCTAGCCCTGTAATCATGTTGCTCTGTTTAAATAGCTACTCGTGTCATACTGCTCTGTGAAGTGTGGAAAAATTATTTTCCGACCTCTCCAGTTGCGTAGAACTCATTGGACTGATATTCAGGAAAGATCTGGAAGAACTGTGTCAAAGCACTTATAAAAGAAAAGAGGAGAATAAGAAAAAGAGTTAGTAACGATCATTACTGTGAAGATAAATGAAATGACTACATGCAAATTAGATGGTCATATTTTACTTGTACAAATCTCTGCCAACATCATCCTGGTCCTGAGCGAAACCTCTGTCATCTTCAGTGAAGCTGAAACCTGTTCCAACCTAGAGAGAGAGGAGAAAAAAGAAAACAAAACCCAACACTTCCTCAATGTTTCAAAAGCACCAAGTGAAAATGACATTTTAAGTAATACTGCTTTTTTTTTTTTTAATGTGATGATAAATCAGAAATACATACTGGATTATCAATGTACAAAACTGAATATCTGGCTGTCCAGGCATAATCCCTCGGACCGACTGCAAAGACAGAGGATATAAACTTTATAAGAAGGTTTAAACAACCTGGGAGTCTTGCTGCTGCAAATCAGTTCTTACCCGTCATGTTCTTGTACACCACATACGGCCCATGTTCCACAAAGAGACCGAACATGGACGTGCCACCAGGCCCACCTTGCAGCCAGAGCAGGACTGGAGCTTTCTCCTGGTTTGCCTATCAGTCACATTAGAGCAAGCACAAAGTTTAAGAAACTAGCGCCACCTAGTGGACTTTTACCGCCATACAGTTGTTTAAAATTATGATTTTGGAATCTGCAGTGTTTTAGAAATGGCCCCAAAAGACCTTCCTAACTTGTGTAAATCAATAATTCTCCTTCCACCGAGTTGCTTGGACTTTCCCCATTGTTCTGAGCATTGGTCTGATAGGTAGTGTCAAACTTTTTCCTATTTATGTTGAGACAGTGAACCTACCACTTGTCATCAATCAACCAGAAGTTAATAGGCCTTGTCAAGTTAAAAGACATTGTAGAACCTTTAGCGCTACTTTTTAAAAGATTTAAGTGAATGAATAGATTTGAACCTCTATGGATACTTTTGACCCAATTCCTGTTTTTTTACGTAATTATAGATGTGTGCTGCACAATCATTCCACCCTAGAGAAAAAAAACAGTGCAAAGAAATCATGTTCATAGTGACCCTGACATTCATGCTCATTTTTCATGTGATTTAAACTCCTGATCACAGTTGTATATGTATTCTGGTCCAACAGGGGTAAAAGGAAGTTGTTTAGAACCTTTCCAGTTTCTTTTTTTCCCTGGAGGCTTTTTAGTAAAAAACATTCAGTAAGATTCAAACTTTACTTGCTGTCATTAAATGCGTCCATCTCCACTGCTCTGGAGCATTTTCATAAATAAAATTAAAAAACAAAACAAAACACTCAGTTAATGATTAAAAGACATAATAAAAAAGGCACAAGTGTAAATTAAAGTAAAACAAGCTCTCTTCCTGTAAGGATTTTCGCTTTAAAAATCAGCAAAGGAAAACCTGGGTATTCCTGGTTGCAGCTGACTAAATATCACAACTTCACAGAGGGACTAAAGATAAAGTTGACTTCTGAAAACCCCACACAGATTTGATCCTAAAACCTCTCCGTCCTCTCAGTGATTTCCTGTCACACTGCACAAATAAGAGTACTGTAAATTTGGGAAGCCCCTGTGGTAAAAGAAGTTAGGCCTACCATGGAAGCAGGGAAGAACCAAAAGAAGAGGTTGCTGTTGTATTTTTTGTTGACTGTGAGGTATCCAGCATAACTCTTGACTGACTTATTGCCTCCTGGCAGGTCTCCCACCAGACTCAGTTTCCTGGCTGGAAAAACGAGATATCGCCACATTGTGGATGTGCAACACAAAAAGCACGAAGCCAATCTATAGTACTTTACTTCGTAGTAACACAAATACAAGTTTACCTTCATCTATAGCGCCCTTCTCCAGATAAGGAGTGAGAAAGAGAGGGGCACCGGGGTCGACTCCGTTCAGGCCGCTGACGCGGGGAGATTTTCGGCAGAAAAACGACGAGCAGCCCCCGAAGGCGGCGGAGTGCAGACAGGCCCACAGTAAGAGGACACCCAGAGTTTCTCTCAGCAGCCTGCCAATATATGTAACATAGATATCACAATGCGGGCCCGGCCAACGATGTGTGAACCTAAAGCACCCCCAAGACACTCAGATTTCAGAACAGTGCGACCACAGCGAGGCTGCACGCCCCTGACTGCGAGCATGAACTTATCGTCATTCTTTTAAAACTCACCTCATTGTCGCAAACACCGGCAGCAGTACAGACTTCACCTTCTAACACAGGCGAAGGAAGGTGGACTAACAAATCCGGTCTCACTGTGATTTTAGTCACATGATCGGCTCTGTGCCGGTCACATGAGATACTGGATCACGTGGTCGTTGTTGTTTAATCAGCCCTCAGTCGTGCCTAGCAGGAGACGCCATTCGACTGTGGCTTTAATGGCCACATGTGTCATTACACCAACGTCCCTAGACAGACCTTAACAGTATAATACAAACTACACCATGCAGCACCAACGCTGGCATGTTTTCTGTTAGTCTCCTGGTTGTAAATTTCAGACAGCAGTTCCTAACTTTTTTTTTTTTTTTAAAAGCACTAACTGACACTTTTAAACATACAAAAAATACCCTGATAACGACTGTGTTTAGTCTGTTCCTTCCCATTCCATGCAAGGCCACCTGGGTTGGCTGGAAGACTGTTTACTTAGCCTGGCAGGGCGAAGGACACTGTCTCAGCTGAACTATGGACACGCACACACATACATATACTGATACTGATAAGCACTCACCGACGCATTACCCTCCCTACCCCGGATCCAACGCCACCTCCGACGCTTACCTCCCCTCTGATGTGGACATCGGGTCAGTTGGAGGCGCAGTCGAAAGATTGCAGCGGTCCCAGATCAGATGTACACACTGGAACTGTCTGTGTTTATTGTGCTATGGTGTGTTGATATCTGTGCATTCCTGTATTATCCTTTTGTGTTACACATTTCAATGTTTTTTCCTCGCTACCTAGCCTGACCTGTCTCCCCAATGTGAGGTTTGTGTATTGTATGTACGGTCGGCAAGGTCTGTACGGTCGGTTGTGGGCAAAAGACCTGCAACTGACAAATAAAGGCTATCTCATCTCATCTCCTCTCATAATTTGTTCACAAAGTTTCAAAGTAAGACAGTTTTCAGTAGCTGTTTTGGTAATACTTTATCCACTGCTCAAAATAAAATGTAATTAGTTCTTTTAGTGACTACAGAGTAGATCCAATAACTTCAAGTCAGTAAAGTCAGTAAAACTTCAGGGATTTTACTCTGTCCAGTACACATAGCATAAACCACTGTGGTTAAGTGACAACAGCTGCACTGGAGAAGCAACAACTCCCAGAAAGGGAATGGTTTTGTAGGTAGTGTCCCAATCCCTCCTGATTTTTTTTTCCTGTCAAGCTCTGGCAGATCTCCTCCTGGTCCTCCTCAAACAAAGGAGCAGTTAACAGTCCTGCTGTTGAAGCTGATGGTTCTGTACAGCACTCGTGTAACAGCTCGTGTCCTGGTTTCTCCTCAGGACTGTCGAGACTGCGCTGAGAGACACAGCAAACCTTCTGGTGAGGGCACATATGGATGTGTCATCCTGGAGGCGCTGGGCAACCTGTGCAACCTGAATGTGCTGCAGGCAACATTTCATGCTGACAAGGACACTGACAAAAAGAAAAACCGGGCACTCTCCAGGATATCTGCTGTCACTTTTACTTGGATAAGAGCAGATGAAATAATGGTTTATGTTTACTAAGTTAGTTGTATACCTAAAATTTATTTTATGCTGTAATATATAATATACTTAATTTTTTTGAGCACTGTATATTTAGTCTTTGCCAAGGAGGTGTTTTAACCTTCACATAGAAAAATAGCAATGCACTGGCCAGCTGGAAAAAGGTGTAGTGGAAACTAATTATCTGGTGTTTCTGGTGAACACAGATGCAAGTAATAAATCTTTGAATGAGCCTAACAGTACTGCAAACTTGGGCAACATTTAAAATAGGAGTAATAAGAACTCTGTTCTTCAGAACATTTTTAGTTTATCTGCTTTAAAGCATCAACAAATAGCTTGCACTCTATATTATTTGGTATCATGAAACAGGAATCCTTTGGGTTTGTTTCTCACTGACATCTGGAAAGTGCTTGGAGCTGATGTAAAGTGAAAGTGGCAGGCACCAGGGCTGATGTGATAGGTTGAGACAGCTGTCCATCAGATCTCAAACGGTTCTCACCTATTCCACAGCTGAAGGACTGAGCATTGTTTTAAATATAGTGATATTTTGCCTTTTGCTGAATTGAGACTCACTTGCTTGGCGATCATTTCTGTGGAGGAGACCAAACCAGAGCTAAAAGATTTGAATATGGTGCTTAAACTCGTCGGCGTGTGAGCATCAGTCGGCTATTCTAGATGATACAATCAGTGTGTCAATAACCTGTAAACAAAATCACTCATTCTTTAACACTGATTGATGGTTGTGTTATTATTGTCCTGTTTCCACTATGAAGGGGAAAACTATTATTAATAAAACCAGTGATGGCTGCTCTCTGTTGTTCAAGCAATGGCACGTGACAGTGAGCCTGGCATGCATCGTGCCAAGGACAAGTATTCAAACACACAACTCTGAAACAATGATGGAAATCTCTTGTGTGTGTGAATGACTGATCCTTCTGCCTCCGATGCAGTGAAAAAAAGACGGTACAAGGAGCTGCTTGCAAAAGGTTTTTGGAAAGAGCTGATGGTGAGATTTTTTCTGAGGCGGTTGTAACGTCATTAACAATCTGCTTTTCTATCAATTTCCGGTGTGTTTTTATTGACTGTTTTGCTTATAGTACATAATTCTGTCTGCAGGTGCAGCCACACTGCACACACCCTGCTGTTGGGCAGAGGTCAGGGTGAAGTCGTGAGCATGTAACTGGTGGATGTGCAGAAGCTGTCAAAATAATACAAAATGTAAGCCAGTTGATCGTTTTCTCCATCGCTCTTTTAACTGATAAAAACGTTCATTTCTTCGAGCGATATATATTTTTGCACCACCAGATGGCGCACAGACACCGGGCTCGCCACAGCTGTTTCATCAAAAATGAAAATAAGAACTGCCAGCTCTGGAATAATACAATTTGCCCATTTGTGCCTTTTCATGAATCAAACGAGTGTGATTTGAGGAAGAAAGTTCCGTCTGTTTGACATTCCGCAAGCGGAGCTGAGCTCTGCTGTTTTGGGCTTGTTTTTGCCTGTCAGGACTGCTTACATCTGGAAAACCTTGCTCCACAAAACTTTCACTTTAAGAAGGCGCGTCTAGGCTGCGGTGTGGTGTGTTTATTGCGATCCTTAAAGTGGCACATGGACGCCGTGGCTGGGCTCTGCATGGCACGACACTTTGCACCTACAGGTTCGGTCCATTGTGGGGAGGAAACGTTTTGACGAAACCGACCCACGGAGCACGTTCCTGTAGTCTTTTTCATCTTTCTCATTTATTTTTGGATCCACGGCACCCACGGTGTATGCGGCAGCGTGAACTCCTCGCCGAGACGCGCAGCGAGGCGAAGGAAAGGATCAGCAGATTCAAACGGACGGACGGGGGTGGTGTTGGTGGGCTCGGGATCAAACAAGACATGAAATGATCACCAGTCAGGCGTCAAAGGTGAAGCACACTGGGGCGTGAGGGAAATGGAGGCACCGCCAGGGACGAGCTGCTGTGAGCCCACCTTGGCCAAACAGGACTAACCGAGTCGTGAAAGTGATTGGGATGGCAGCATCCAGCAACTCAAGCCTCTCAGGTTCATCTTTATCCTCTGGTAAGAGTTCAAATTCTCCCCAAACGAACAGACACAGAAGCTTTGCACTAAATAATAGAAATAATAATAGGATTGCATTTCCTCTTGAGAAGTTTCTAATGCTTTCGTTTGGCTTGAATCAAACTTTTCTCTTGTATACAACCCACGCATTATCTTAATCTCTATTAATCTGTCTCACAGATGCCTTTCATTAAACTTTCTCGAGGTGGCAGCTGTGATAATATAGAAAAAACCCTCTAAGTGGATGCAGCTGTGGAGGTACTGGGGTAAAAGGAAAGCCCTTCATGTGCACAAGGATTATAAGGTCGTGAGATGCAGTCAGTGTGACGCTTGGTTTTGGATGTTGTCCTTAACGTTGCCAATCATTTCCACAATTCCACTATTGACTTTCCACTTGGCTGTCTTCTGTGATTATCTTTGGCCTCCTTTGTCTACCATTTTCCAAAAATGCAACATCAACCAGGCTGAGGTGTTTTCTGATATTTTTTTTTAATCTAATATGCCCAGTTGAGTGATTATAATACATCTCAGACTGCTTCAGTTTGCAGAAAACTCCAGCCAAATCCCCTTTGCATAAACAATGGTATAGCTCAGTGATTAGTGCATATTATTTGTCATTTTTGTGTGCTTTGCTTTTCACAGAAGGAAAAGCAGAATGTTTGTCAGCAGCTGTTCAAATAAACCCTGAAAATACAGTGGGAGCAGCAGAATGCTTTCTCTGCGCATAGTCCCTTGTGTGTTGATAAGGAGTAGCTCGTATTTGCCAGAGTATAAAGTACAACCTCCACTATCGCAGCACTGCTTGATGTGGAAGCCCCACCAAACAACCAGGGGCGAGCGTGTGTGACAGAAGGATGAGGCTGTTTGTAACGCTGAGCCTCCGCGCGCGTGGTTTATGTTTGGACTATAAAATCACATCAAGAAAATGTGCAAAAAAGAGGGGGGGGGAAAGCTGCAGCAAAAAGTCAAATTCAGCATTGCTTTGGTGGATTTTCATTTAATTTATAGCAGGACGAGGACATTCCATCAAGTGTTTGTTTTACTTTCTCACTGTCTCTGCATCCTGACCACACAGCAGCGTCACATTTCCCAAGGTACTGCCCAGTGGGAGGGACAGACAGTCAAGCTGATATAGCCCAGGGTGACCACAGGCTTCACAAAGCATTATCTCATGTGTGCGTTTCAGAAAGAAGTGGATTTATTGTTTGACCGCTGCTGCTTTAAGAGGAAAGTCTCTTCTTTCTGTGGCATTGGAGGGTTGTCATTACTGTTGGGCTCTCAATATAATTATCAGAGGTTACAAGCTGCACTGTTGCCAGGGATGGAGTGGTTGTCGCAAGGGTATTATTATTTTCGTGCAGAGCTCTTTGGCAGCCAGATGCAACATTTGAATAATCTTGTCTATGAGGCATATGACTGAAACATGAATCTCTGTGAAATTCCAGCTCCATATTAGGTCTTCTGTTCTTGCTGCAAACAAAGTGCTTTGGTATATTTGGCTAAATCCATCATATTTGTAAATCTGCACAATCGAATTGTAACTGATG